GTGTTTATGTGTGTGTTTGTGTGTATCTGTGTGTGTGTGTGTGTCAGTCTATGAGTGTCTGTGTGTGTTTTTCTGTGTGTGTTTGTGAGTGAAAGTGTGCAAACACGAACACGGAGGGAAATTATACCGATGAGAAGATAGACGGGTAGACAAAATGTAAATTGTTACCGTAGTAGAAATGCCTTCCCTATAAGCAGTTGGTGATTTGATTTTTTAAAGTACGACAGTGGGACAATAGTATAGATTGTGAAGCGCATACAGCTTCCTTTTGAGCGGGGATTTGCGCTATACATGTGCTATTTTTTAAAATTATTATTATTATTATTATTATTATTATTATTATTATTATTATTATTATTATTATTATTATTATTATTATTATTATTATTATTTTTATTATTATTATTATTATTATTATTATTATTATTATTAGTTTCACAGCAGGTTTATAACTATCAACAATTTGATACAGTTCATTGCTTTCTTATCCTGTTCAAAATCGTTGCAGAGCTAAAGCGAATGTTGAAGTATACAGAGAGGCAAAGGTTGTGTTGTGATGGACATATTGTATATTATATAGTATTTCATGCTAGAAGTGCATGATGCTACACTAAGTTTTGGTTTTCTTGAGCTCAGTAGCATTATGGCAAAGGATGTACAATGTCCCTGACAAATGTGAAACAAAACTCAGATACTTAGATGGCGAAAGCCTTTGAGAACACATGCTTCATAGAAGATGGCAGTTCTCACCTCTTGTCTTTCAACTGACCAAGAAATGTTTTGAAATCTATCTTATTGCAATTTATATTGAACAAAGAACCCTTCATGCCAAAAGTCACATTTTCTCATAAGTATTTCTAATGTTCACAAATACCAGGGGCGGTTTGTTAACTGGGTGCCGGTCAAATTTTTGTCAGCTGGACTGTTGACACGAGATTTATTGCTGCTGATGATTTTCATTCAGTTTTAAGTTAATCCAAATAAACATGTATCAATATTCAAAAAGCACCTTGCCGATTTGAAGGCGTTCAAATAGACAAGTGGGATTCACTGCTGTTTTGTCGCAACAGAGCCTCATTCCATCACCTTTGTTTATCGCACCGGCTCGTAACTTTAAATCGTCTCTCGTCAAACCGTCACGTCGCGGAACTTCGTACGAGGACAAACGAACACGGCGGGTGGACAAATCCATCGACTGCCCTGAGACTACTAAAAGCGACTATATTATCCCCTGATTGCCAAGTTGGCCTCCGTGTTGCTTACAAAATCGGCAATGAGACTGTCTTGAGTCTTGAGCAGCACAGACACATGAAATATTTCATCAGCAATACATGTACTTATCATTCAGCCTTTCTCTAAATATCATCAGAACATATATTGTCAGCATGGCACTAATCTTTTTTGTTTATTGAAGTTTTAGCCTCCTATAGTTCCTGTTTGGTGACTATTCATCGTTTTCTTCCCACTAATAACGTACCTGGCCCATATGAGTCTAGCCGACGAAGAGAGGAATCGTCTAGTGAAGATATATAAGGAGAATTATAGCGAGGAGCGACAGGCTCTCTGCTGTCAGAGTCTGGGCCGAAAACAATGGGCCTACCCCCTCCCTTCCCTCCCCTTATCCACCGTCACCCCAACCCCAGCTAGACACAAAGTTCTATAATTAGCATTTGGCACACTTCCCCACTTTGTTACAACAGTGTTCTGAGAACTGAGAAGTGTGATGAAGAACGTTTGATTACAAAAAGATGGAAAACTGTTGTGTGCTAACTTCGTCCAGCTTTTTATATATCTGATCGTTGACTTAATCTGCATGGGACAGCGTCATTGGTACAGTATCAATTGGCTTTTTGCCATCATACAGGACAGTTCTTATTACATATTTACAGGTCGAGTGCACGTCGATATTGTGTGTGGGTGTGTACAAACTTAATAGAAAGTAAAAGTACCGGAGGCCATGACCAGCAGTTTATTGTGCTTCTCACTTTCAGTTTGTTTTCTGGCATAGACTCTAGTAGTGTTTCTTTTTCTATGCTGTTGAAGTCAGTTTCTATTAACTCAGTAACTTCAATCATACATTAATCATAATTTTTTTTCTTGACACTACCATATTTCAGCTCTTTCACATTATATCAAAATGTTTACAGTGATGAGTGTTTGTTAGTGGGGGAGGGGGTGGGGATGGCAAAAGTAGGGGTATAAAATGAGCAGAGAGGGAGAGAGAGAGAGAGAGAGAGAGAGAGAGAGAGAGAGAGAGAGAGAGAGAGAGAGAGAGAGAGAAGAGAGAGAGAGAGAGAGAGAGAGAGAGAATGTGTTTTTGTGTGTGTGTGTGTTTGTGTGTGTGTGTGTGTGTGTGTGTGTGTGTGTGTGTGTGTGTGTGTGTGTGTGTGTGTGTTGTGAAGGAAGGGGGTGGGGGGAGGAAGAAAGAGTCTATGTGAATGCTGGCCGGTCAGTTTTATAAACCACGAGCCGCCACTGCTCTAGACTGTTCTATATATATTTTTTTGTTCTGGGAATCTCTTTGTTATGTTTTTGCTTTGATTTGTTAAAATGTTTGTTTTGTTCTTGGATTTTATCTTCCTGTATTTAAAGCTGTCATTTTATAGGGCACATGTTTTCCCAAAGTTCTTTATATATAGTTTAAAACTTTTATTACTACACAAACTTCCCAGACATTCGAACGAGAGACGTCTCCTGTGCTCCTGCTACCATGACGTATTTCAAGTAAGTAGGAATCCCAATGTTCCACAGAAATAAAACGGAGAATTACAATGGAAGGCTAAGGCTAGTTTCAATAAAATGTGCCTAATCCAGAAAAACAGAAACATCTAAATGGCCACCAAAATGAAAGTTCCGAATTGCTATGTATGGTCAACCCTTCTATATGGCTGTGAATGCTGGACAATAACCAAAGACAGTGAAAATAAAATAAAAGAAACAGAAATGTGGTTTCTGAGGAGACTGCTAAAAGTATCGTGGAAGGAAAAGAAATAAAATGAGGTAGTGCTTGATGAAGCCCACGTGAGACGCTCAATGTTACAAACAATCAGGAAACGACAAAAGCAGTTTTTGGGACACCTGAATAGACATAAGGATCTTGCATACCTAGCTCTCACTGGCAAAATTGAAGGCAAACGAGGCAGAGGTAGATCCACAACAACCTACTTAGGGAGCTTAAACAAATGGGTAACAGGGAAAGATCAGGGAAACGTAGCATTTTTGAAAGCATCCGAGCAAAGGAATGAATAGTGAACCATGATATGATCGCTGATGTCTGTCGCAGATCTGGCACTGGATGATGATGATGATGATGATGATGATGATGATGATGATGATGATGATGATGATGTTGATGACGATGATGATGGATCCAAAAGGTCCTCTGTCGCTGGGTGTTTATACGTATTGCTTTGTCTATGTATTTTTTTTTTCAAAAGAAGATTTGTTTGTTTGTTTGTTTGCTTTATGTTTGTTTTAAGTTGGGGTTATTTTTTTTTGGGGGGGGGGGGTTGATTTTTTAAAAGACCCGTGCCCTGATTTGATGCTGTACTTTTTTGTACGATATATGATACAGCGTGGTGAAACCAGGCGCTCGTCCGAATAATCAAAGTGAAGAAACTGGTATTTTTCCTCAGGTTTGTGAATTTTCATCTTATTTTGTTTTTTGGCTCAACGTCTTCCATGCCCGTTTAAGAACACATTTCTGAGTGGATTTTACCAAAAAACGTTGATAAAAGGCACTACAAATGTAAATTTTCAGTTTCAACGGACTCTCAAGCTAAGGGAAAAAAATCATTTTTGGCGGCATTTTTCTCACTAATTTTACCTCTGAAATCAGGTGACCCCTACCTTCTTCATTCGCAAATATATCGACTTATATTCAAGATGAATGGACA